AAGAAACACCTCATATCAACTGTCACATTGGCCTGAATTCTGTCATAGAATTCGGATATCCCCCACCTCTCCCTTTTCAGGGTACAAGCCCCCACTTTCAAGCCACCAGCAAAGGACACCCTAATCCATTTCTTTGGTGTTTTTTTTTTAATCATATTATTGTTATACTAGGAATACATTGTGACATTTACAAAAGTGCTTACAGTGTATCTTAAATTCTCTCTCTTCATCATTCTCGAGACTTTATCCCCCTTCATTCTTAAAAAAGTTTCAACAGGTCTCACTTTTCCATTTTCATACATGAGTACATAGTATTTCTACCATGTTCACCTCCTACACCCTTTCCTTACTTCCCCCTCACACTGGTACCAACCCCCAGACAGGACCTGTTTTACCTTCCTGTCCTCTGTTTTTGAAAAAAGACACTTTTTGTTTGTGTAAGATAGCTATATAGGGAGGAGTTTCATTGTGACATTTCCATGTATATATATTATACCCTAATTGGTTCGTCCCCTCTATTTTTCTCCTTTCTACCTTACTTCTCTTTCAATAGGTTTTAAAATTCTATAATAAAAGAAAATGTCTGCTATCCAAAAATCCCTCTTGAAGTTCCTAGCAGGCCTTCCCACTTACGCTGTGTGGCCTCAGCAAAGTTACTTAAATTCTCTCTGCCTCATAGTCCTCATTTTTAAAAATAGATGATGCTGGGCATGGTGGCACACACCTGTTATCCCAGCACTGGGGAGGCTAAGGCAGGAGGATCATGAGTTCAAGGCCAGCCTGGGCAGGTCCTGTCTCAAAAAAGAAAGAAAGAAAGAAAGAAAGATAATAACTTCTATGCTTTTTTTTTTTTTTTTGTGGTAACACTGGGTTTGAACTCATGGCTTCATGCTGGCTAGGCAAGCACTCTTAACACTTGAGCCACTTCACCAGCCCAGATGATAACTTCTGGCTCATAGGATTGCTAATACTTGCAAGATTGTCTTAAACCATGGAATGGGCACTAAACACACGAACACATGTTCAACACAGTAACTGCTGTACTCCACTGATCCTAAGCTATACCTTGTTTTCTCATTGGAACATCTCTTATGATTGTGGCATCCTCTGGCAGCTGGGAGTGGCTGTCATGGACTGCACAAACCTACACGTGGCCAGGTAAGTTTCCAGTGCTTTCTCTTTCCTCCGTGGGTTCAATTTAATTGCTGTTTGAAATGCCTTCAGTCTGGGCCTGGCAGCACAGGCCTGTAATCTGAGCACTTTGGGGGAAACCGAGGAAAGAGGACCATGAATTCAAAGCCAGCCTGGGCTACAGAATGAGACCCTGTCTCAAAAATAAAATAAAATAGCGGAGGGTATGACTCAAGTGGTATAGGGAAGCCCAAAGTTCAAATTCCAGTATTGTAAAAAAAAAAAAAAGTATAAAAAAAAATAAAATAGTGTCTTCAAAAAGGCTACACTGTGGTTTAGCATTTAAACAAAATTATTGTGCATTGGAAAAGGCAAGGAAGCAGAAGAGCCCAGCAGGAATTTGATATTTGCAAAGCTGACAGTTGTCAGTAAAAAAATGACAATTTGATATTTTCTTGCAAAACAACAGCCAAGTATTCACGGGACCTACAAAAGGAAGAGCGAACTGTTGTGCTGTGTTGTTTTATTACCAAGAAAAGGACAAAATGGAAAAGAAACAATAAAGCATACAAAATGAGCATTAGAGACTTAGAGAAAGCAACAGGCAATCTTTAAGAAATGATACCACACCACGACCCCTGGTGACACAAGACCATGTAGAAAACATCTCAGCCAGAGGGCTTTCAGGAAAGCTGGGCTCTGAATGCAAAGAAAGCAGAGGGCTGTTTTCATCAATTTGTTGCCTGATGTCTTTTCTATGCACAAGAGTGATTTCAACTTAAGAAAAAAAAAACCTGTTATCTAAGTAAATCTAAAAGACTTCTTTCTTTTTTGATCATCTTCCTTCTCCAACTTTCAACTTTATTTATTTATTTATTTATTTTGCGGTACTTGGGTTTGAACTCAGGGGCTACACCTCGAGCCACTCCACCAGCCCCTTTTTTTGTGATAGGTTTTTTTGAGATAGGGTCTTGCAGAGCTATTTGCACAGGCTGGCTTTGCACCATGATCCTCCTGATCTCTGTCTCCTGAGTAACTAGGATTCCAGGTGTGAGCCACCAGCACCCAGCTAAAATATTATTTTTAACTGTGGTAAAATACACCTAACACAAAATTTACCATCGCAACCATTTTTAAAAGCGTAGTTCAGTGGGATTACGTCAATCCTGCTGGTGTACGTCATGGCCAATAAAACATTTTTGCCATACTCTAATTCACAGTGCAGCGTAGATGAGTATCAGGATCTTGAGACTTTCCACTGTGCAGACAAAACATAATGTCCGCTCAGGGCAGTGCTTCTGCCCACCTGACTCTCAGCAGAAGCCCTGAGGATTGCGACAGGAACACCTTCTCCCTCCCTGGCACAGAGGGAAGGCCAAGCGCAAGGCCCAGGCAGGAGTAGAGCACAGTCATGGTTGGTCTCCCCCTTTCCCCAGCCTGAGGACATCAGGAGAACATCCTGACTGCTGCTGTAAGCTGTGTGACAAGGTGAATCACAGTCTCTCTGGACTTCATGTTCCAGTCTGTAAAATGAGGTCCACAGGCTGGATGGTCTCTAAGATCCCAGCAGGCTTTTTTTTTTTTTGCTGGGTATGGAACCCAGGGCCTCCTGTGAGCTCAGCAAATATTCTGCCTCTGAGCCCCATAGTTCCAAATGTACAAGTGTGTGACTGAATGATACACATGCACACACACACACAGACACACCATAAGCACACACAAACTCGGGGGGTTACAAAGAAAAGCCATAACACCTATTCTGGGTTCATAAGGACACCTGAATAGGTGCAGGGCAACTATGCCCAGAGTCAATGGTCAGTGAGCTACTCTCTTGAGATCATAAACACCTGGACCAAAGAGGTATGACCAGGAAAGGAACGTGGTCCATCCAAGCACACAGGCTAACACCATGGGGGAGGGTAGTTTTGAGAACCAGCATCACCACTCCAGCTTGTGTAAGGCCTGAGAGGAGAGTTTTCCAGGGACCCTGAAGCTCAGGTTGGAATCTGGCGTGTTGGTGTGGATGGAATATCCAAGGATCAGGACAAATGACACATGAAGCCACCAATGGAAGGAATGAGGAAGGCACATTTCTGGGGTAGGGGCTGAGGCACAGCCCATCTGGACCCCTGTGGGTCCTTGTCCCTTCCTGTGTGAGAAGTGCTGAGGTGGGTCCCTAATACATATTGAAGAACAGTCTTCTGCCTCTACCTCTTCCTGGAGCATCTGCAGTGCCTGAGGTGGGTAGGGCTGGCTAAGGGGACAGCACCAGGGTAGCAGGTGCTCTGTGTCAGGCACTGGCACAAACCACACAAGAATCCCTGCTCTTGGGGAATTTCTCTTCTGTTCAGGTTGTTTCTTCCTCCCCCTCTTACTCCTCTTCTTCCTCCTTTCACTCCTCTTCCTCATCCTTAACAGCAGGATCTTCAAGTCCCTGTGGGTGTGTATACTTATATGCGAAAAAAAGACAAAGGAGAGAGAGAAAAAGAGAGAGAAAGAGAAATGCATTCTTAGTGCAAAGCATTATTTTATTGCATCCTGAAAACATTTTTGTGGGGAATGCATGATTACTACCACTGTCCAGAAAAGGAAAACGAGGCACAGAGTGTGACTTGGCAGAGGAGAGGGTGATGGCAAGCAATCCAGACCAGCTTCTAGTCCCAGCTCAACCATCAACTTCAGGAAGCCCAGAACTCCTTTCTCCTGACCCCTTGTGAGCCTGCCCTGCCTTTAGGTCCCCCAAAGAGAAAACAAGGCTGGAGGGCTTAGGAAAGAGCCCAATGACCACAACTACAGAGATAGCAGGGAGCGGCCTTACCAGGACACTGGCTGGGCTGAGTGGCAACAAAACCAGAGAGACACTTATCAGGCATCACAGCCTTCCTGAGCCTACACAGCTTATTACACCCACAAAAATGCCATCTCCTGTGGCAAGGCCGACTCCAAGCCCCAGGGAGTGACAACAACCTGTCACACCTTCTGGGACCCTGACACGTGTATTTAGAGATCTGTTCTCCTCAGAGCACAGATAATACTGTGACTAATAGCTAATGGGAAGTGACCACTTCCAGCAGGCCAGGAGCTGCTCTGAAGGCCTTATAATTATTTCACGCTATCTGAACCTGATCCCATGAGGTAGGTTCTATTTCCCGCCGTGTACATACACAGGCAAGAAAGGTTAGGTCTAAGATGCTGCAGGGTGATGCAGAATGGAAGCCCTTAGCTTCCTTGGTTAACCCCAGGTGACTCCATCACCCAGGCCTAGGGTCCCAGTGCCACGGAAGCCACCCCAGTCTCCAGGCTATGGGAGCTGCTATCTGGCCAGGGTTCCAGAGAGGAGGTGAAGCTTATGGGTGATTAACTACAAGAAAGCAAGCATGGAATGCAAGACCTTTCTGCCCTGGAAATCTGTGACAAGCCAACCAGTTGTTTTCCATCCCCTTCAAGAAGGAACAATTGGAGGTCAGACTGCAGGAAGAACTTCCCAGTTACATTCTTCCCTCATGGTCACCTTTGGGAGGGGTGTTGCCCCTGCCTTAGCTAACAGTTTGAGTCAGAAAGAGGGGCCCTGGTGTCCCCTATTTTGCTGTGGGGGCTGGAAGAGACCCTGCAGCTGCTGCCCTGGGGTAACTGAGGGAACAAACACGTCAGTCCTTATCTGGACCTCATTAATGGGGAACGTTAGTCAGCTGTGAAGGCCAAGATGGGGTGATAGGAATGCGGGTGGGCAGGGGCAGAGGTGGGGGCAGCCATGGGGGAAAAGAGGTATGAACCAAAGCTCCACCTCCACCCCACGTGCCCAAAGCTGGGACGGAAGGATCCTATAAGTGCCCATGGTCCAGCCTCCCCAGAGGCCCAGAAAAGAGAAAGAGAGAGAGGGCAACCCATAGCCTCCTGGCCCCAGACAGCAGGGGCCAGTGCACAGAGGGCCAAGCAGCATGTGGGAACTCCGCTCCATAGCCTTCTCCAGGGCGGTGTTCGCAGAGTTCCTAGCCACACTCCTGTTTGTCTTCTTTGGCCTTGGCTCGGCCCTCAGCTGGTCGCAGGCCCTACCCTCTGTGCTGCAGATCGCCATCGCCTTTGGCCTGGGCATCGGTACCCTGGTGCAAGCTCTGGGCCACGTCAGCGGGGCCCACATCAACCCTGCCGTGACGGTGGCCTGCCTGGTGGGCTGCCATGTCTCCTTCCTCCGAGCTGTCTTCTACGTGGTGGCTCAGCTGTTGGGGGCTGTGGCTGGGGCCGCTCTGCTCCACGAACTCACCCCAGCAGAAATCCGCGGGAACCTGGCTGTCAACGCTGTGAGTAGCTCAAGCTCCCACAGGGGCAGATGTCCTGGGGAAGCTCTCATGGAGGATGAGATGGAAGGGACTGACCCTGGATGGGGTGACAAGGACTGAGGAAACAGACAGAGGCTGGGGTCAGCAACACAGCCGCCCCAGGAGAATCAGGGTGCAGCAGTCACTGTGTCAGAGCAGGGGCAGGATGAAGAGAGGGCTGCTGGACCTTCCCCAGCCTCGTGGAGGAAGCATGGTGTCAGGTTTCTGTTGGATTTGAGGCCAGCAGTGGACTAGAACTCAGCAGGGAACAGCACCCGAGAGAAGACAGGGCTAAGCCATGAAGAAGAACGAAATGTTATCATTCGCTGGAAAATGGATGGAATTGGAGAACATCATTCTGAGTGAGGTTAGCCTGGCCCGAAAGACCAAAAATCGTATGTTCTCCCTCATATGTGGACATTAGATCAAGGGCAAACACAACAAGGGGATTGGACTTTGAGCACATGATAAAAGCGAGAGCACATAGAGGAGGGGTGAGGATAGGTAAGACACCTAAAAAACTAGCTAGCATTTGTTGCCCTTAACACAGAGAAACTACAGCAGATACCTTAAAGCAACTGAGGCCAATAGGAGAAGGGGACCAGGAACTAGAGAAAAGGTGAGATCAAAAAGAATTAACCTAGAAGGTAACACCCACGCACAGGAAATCAATGTGAGTCAATGCCCTGTATAGCTATCCTTATCTCAACCAGCAAAAACCCTTGTTCCTTCCTATTATTGCTTATACTCTCTCTACAACAAAATTAGAAATAAGGGCAAAATAGTTTCTGCTGGGTATTGAGGGGGGGGAGAGGGAGGGGGCGGATTGGGTGGTAAGGGAGGGGGTGGGAGCAGGGGGGAGAAATGAACCAAGCCTTGTATGCACATAGGAATAATAAAAGAAAAATGAAAAAAAAAAAAAAAGACAGGGCTAGGAGGGGAGGTGCTCAGAGCACAGTCACAAGAGTTGTCTAAAGAGAAGAGGGACCAAACATTTCTTCAACATCTACTGTGCGGGGGCTATGACAGTTACTCCTCACAAGCCACGCGAGGTAAGCCACGTGAGGTAGAGATGGGTACCGCGTGCTCATTTCTTCAGGATGTGAGAACCGAGGCTCCAAGAGGGAAGTAATGCCCCGCCCTCAAACCTAGGCCTGGCTTCAAAATCCACCATCTTTCCTCCTGGCCAGTGGTCCTGAGTCACTATCTAAGCCTTCTCTTGCAAACCAAGAAACTGAGTCCGGGAAGAGAAGAGATGGGTTCAAAGGTTCTACAGATTGTCAACAGCAGAGAAAGCACCAGAAACTAGATGAAGGCTGCAGGAGCAAGGTCTCTCCAGGCTTGGAGACAGTCTCCCTCTGGAGCCTGGGAGGCAGCTGCGGATCCCATAATGTTGCAGTTAACTGGGCTCCTGGGGCACTTTGGGAAGTGAGCGCAATGTCGTGACCCTTCCTGATTTGGGTCGGCACAGGCCTGGGGAGGGAGGGTTACGAGTGGGGCATGGCCCCTTCAGCACTACTCGCTCTCTGTGCCTCCATCCCAAGCCAGGAGAGCAAGAGCCCTTCTGCCTCGCTTTCCCACATTTCTTGGCCTGCTGCAGACCCCGAGCCTTGATGTCCCTGTACAATCTCCATGGCCATCCCCTCCTCTGTTCAGGTGGCCTTCCTCCAGGAAGGGACAGAGATTGCTCCAGTTGTGGAACTTCTCTCTTCTTCAAAATGGAAAGTATAACAAGGCTGGAAGCCACGGGCCACAAAGGCTGGCATGGCCCAAGTGGTGGAGAGATAGAGAAGTGTGCCCATTTCAATTAAGAATGAAATTAGTTCATTTTGCAGCAGCAAGAGGTCCAGTTAGACTAAAAGAGGAACTTCCTGAGTGCATGCCAATAACAGCACTGAGAGCAAGAGGCCCCAGGGAACACTTAGTTCTGCTAATTCATCATTTTATAGCCAACCAGGGTTCAGGAAAGAAGGGTCTGGGAAGGCTGCTACAGGCTGTGCCTCGTCATTGACTGTAATGAGGAGCAGGAGGGACCCCTGCCTGGCTGGAATGGTATAGTAGAAGGGCTGGCTTTGTCTGAGACTAGAGGGAGCCAGGTGACCCCCAAGTGTCCTTTGAGGATGCTAAGACCCAGCATGGCCACCAGGAAGTTGCCACTGATGTACATCTGCTTGGCACAGGTACAACACAGTGAGCTAAATTCTGTGGCTCCCTCCCAGAGTTAAATTGAAACTCAACCTTCAATGGACTAGAGTCGCAGAACCAGTAAGTGGCAGCGCCTGGAACCAGCTCCCAAACTATCCGTCACCAGACACTTGCGCACACTGTCTCCCTCTGAGCAGCCATTTTACAGCAAGCAAGCAGCTGGCGCTCCGTGCTTATCATCACTGGTCCTCCCACAGGCCTCCAGAACCTGTTTTACCATCCCCATTTCACAGAAAGAGAAATTGAGACCAAAGTAAATAGGGTCCCTCCAAAGTGTTCATCCTGCAAAGCTCTTGTCACTGTCCCCTGGAGGCCCTACTCAGCAGCAACAGGAGGAGCTGAGGTTCAAGCCTAGAAAGACTCAAGGGTGCCAGCCTGATGCCTAGGACCCAGGGCTGGGGGCTCAGAGCACGGGAGATGGGAGCAGTCACTGCTCTGCATGGTACAGGGCTCAGTCCCAGAGGGCAGGGTGAGGTGGTATGAGATGACAAAACCTGGAGAGAATTCCAGTACGGGATGTGACACATGTTATGAAACTGCATTTTTGCTCAGTCCCTTTTTCCCTCTTTTTATCCAGGGCAGGGTCTTTGGATAGCTACCAAAGCCTCCCCACATGGGCATGGAGGCATCATAGTCCAGTGCTCCTGTGCCCCCACCCCAGCTTCCACAGGCCACACAGAGAGCAACTCACAGGGCACAACCACGGTTGAAATTGCAGTAGCGGGCAGGCAAAGGTGAAGGCAATGGCCCTATGCTGGCCTCATGGAAGAGGGGCATTCCAGAACCATCCCCCCGACCTAGTCCCTAGATGTCATCCCTGGGAGCCTTTCGACCACAGGAAGAAAAATGCCCAGCCTCCTGCTGCATTAGAAGCATGTGACCTAGAGACAGAAGAGCCTCCGGCCACCTGGCCCAAAACTCTTGGCTGTAGTTGGAACTTCTTCTCAAATGTGCTTCTGGAACAGAAATTCTTTTTCCTGTGATGCTGTAGGCCCACTATCTCATTCCCCAAATCTAGTAGGCTATTGAGACTATTTCCCTACCTCTGCCTGGGGACCATGGGCAATCCAGGGTCCATCCCTTGCTTTGGGGTCAGGCTCAGGAAGAAGGTGGCAATAGTCCAACTAAGGTGTCTGGTAAGCCCAGGTGTTCTGGCTCCCAGCCAAGAGCCAATTCCAGGCTGGCAAGAAGATGGAGCCACAGACAGGAGCATGATCAGTGTGTCCCCTCTCTACCTCCCTATCCCCAGCTCAACCACAACACAACGGCTGGACAGGCCGTGACTGTGGAACTCTTCCTGACCCTGCAGCTGGTGCTCTGTATCTTTGCTTCCACGGATGAGCGTCGAGGAGACAACCTCGGCAGCCCTGCCCTCTCCATCGGTTTCTCTGTGACCCTAGGCCACCTCCTTGGGGTAGGTGATGACTACAGGTTCTGCCTCCCTAGAAGCACTAACACATAGACCTTCTCCAAAGAAACAGACACACAGACCACTCTAGAGGCAGACCCAGAGAACTCCCCCCAAAGTGACAGATACGAAGACTCACAGAGGACAGATAGCAAATGCCCAAGAGGGACACGACCTTGAGGCCCTGGCTCCCAGACACCTCAGAGTTACAGCTGTCACTCTAGCTCCAAATGAATACAGAGCCAGCAATGAAGACATGAAGTCACACGTCCACTGCATGAATTCCTTTTAGGTTGAGGCCAAGCACTGGAGAGCGGGGACAAGGGCTCCCTGCCCTGTCCTCACCTTCCTTCTCTCCTCTTCTTGACTCCTACTTCCCTCTGTAGATCTACTACACTGGCTGCTCCATGAATCCTGCCCGTTCCCTGGCTCCAGCCATCATCACCGGCAAGTTTGATGACCACTGGGTAATGATTGAACCCCTGCCTTCCCCTTTCCTAGAAATCATCTCAGAGGGAGAACAAGGGCTGCAATAAACAGGGGCAGGGGTACCCCAAACCCACTACACTCTTCCTGAGGCCTGGGAAACCTTAGGTTCCACTCTTCAGAGCTCAAGCCAAAGACTCAGTTTCCCCTCCCTGTCCTCAGCTATAAATGAAGACAACAGTTCTTTGGGCCAGGTGGCAGGCGCTCTCTCTCTCTCTCTCTCTCTCTCTCACTCTGTCTCTCTCTGTTTCTCTCTCTTTCTTTCTTTCTTTTTTTTTTTTTGTGGTACTGGAGTGTTAACTTAGAGCCTCAGGCTGGCTAGGTAGGTGCTCTGCCACTTGAGCCACTCCACCAGCAGGAGGTAGGCATTCTTATAATGAAAGGAAACCAAGGCACAGAGAGGGTAAGTGACTGCAAATTTACACAGCAAGTAAATGGTATAATCAAGTTTTTTGACTAGACAATCCGCTTAAGAATTCGCCCCCTTACCCTTTACACTACCAAGGTGTCTCCAGCAACTCGCTTTGTCATTGCTAGTTGCATGGATAAATATTTTATATCAGAGGCGCAGGAGACTCCTTGTCCCATAGAGCAAGGACAGGAGCGTGTTCCTGGCCTCAATGTGGTGCCAGCCCCCTCTCTGCTCACCCCCAGGTCTTCTGGATCGGACCCCTGGTCGGTGCCATCCTGGCCTCCCTCATCTACAACTACGTGCTGTTCCCCTCGGCCAAGAGCTTGTCGGAGCGCATGGCCGTGCTGAAGGGCCTGGAGCCGGACGCAGACTGGGAAGAGCGCGAAGTGCGGCGGCGGCAGTCGGTGGAGCTCCACTCCCCGCAGAGCCTGCCGCGTGGCAGCAAGGCCTGAGCACCACCCCACTGCCCCCCACCCCGCGGAAGGCCCACCCTGTCCCCCCTACCCCCAGGCCCGATGTTGCGCCCCCCCCCTCCCCTGCCACCCCCGTGCACAGTAGCTGCTTCCAGAACCAGCGCTGTGAGCGGCAGGAAGGGGGACACGAGGGTAGCCACCCCCGAACCTGGCAGATCCCCTGTCCTGAGACTGTGGGTCGCAGCTGTTCCCTTGCAGGGCACTGGGGACTGAGCCTGGGAAGGAGGGAAGGTGGGACGTGGACAGCTCCAGAAAACCAGCACCCAGATATTACTGAGAAGTGTGCGCCCTTGGGGAGGTTCTGGGAATGGTGCGTCCAGTCTTCCTTCTATGCAAGCGTGTGTGTTCGTTCAAGTACAGGGCTTGCCTTCAGTGCTACAGCGCTGGTGACTCTTCCTCCCACACCTGCAGTAAATCCACTTCCTCTGCAGGAGATGAGTCCCCCATGGCAGGCAGTCAACAACCGCTGGAGAAGAGAAGGGGCGGGGGAGGGGTGCCTGAAGAGAGGGACCTAATTTTCAACCCCTACCTTGCCCCTCCTGGAAAATTCCCCCAACCTGCAGCCTTGGGCCCCAAGACTTGCCAGGACTCATTGCTGGAAGCAGAAAGGTGTCAACCAGAGAACAGCTCCCCTAGAAAGTGCCTCTGGAAAAAGGAGGGCTGGGTGGCCAACGATTTCCTTTCTGCCCTGAGGGAATACTCTTGAAAAGGGAAGCAGGTATAGATGGATGCATGTGTGTGTGTGTGTACATGACCGCCATCCCCAGGGGAGATTAGCCTTCCACTTGGGTGAGGAAAACAAAAACCCTTTGTGGGCCCCCGGCTTTTGTCTTGAGAGAGGGGGAGATTTGCAACCAGACACTTCGTGAAAGGAGACACTGAGTTTCACAAGTGAGCCTTCTCGCCCAGCACACACCTATAGGTGGCTGGGCAAGGTACTCAGGCATGCAACCACCACGCTAAGCAACACTCCTCCATCACCTGTCCCCTCCTCCCAGGAATCTCTGTTCCCACTTTCCCTTCCTCCCCTTCCCCATACTCCGCCGTGCTTCGGGCTCCCACCAATGGAGCCTGCTGCTCTCAGCTGCTCTCAGGACTAGAGACCGGAAATGACTTGTCCAGGCAGAGGCAGGACTGAGTCTAGAACCCAGGCTTGTACATTTCTAGGCCAAGGCAGTGCTCTCAAATGAGATTAACTGGGATTAAGTGAGCCAGTGCATGTAAAGATGCTGTGTGAACTGTAATCTTAATACCATTATCACGAATTACTAGGATCATTTTCATTATTTCTGCTTATTCAGTGGAGGGGGGTGTGGTGGCAGGGAGAAGGCAGAAGCAGCCTGGCCTTCAACCTCTTCTACTTTCTTTAGTTGATAGTCAAAGCAAAGGATGACCCTGAGAACCCGAAGGTCCAGGCAGAGGAAGATGGATTTAGGCTGGCCCTATCCTGGTCCAGCCTCTGGACCTCTCCTTAGCCTGAGCACATTGGTAGTTCTCCTACTTCCTTCTTCCTGCCACCCAGACCTATCCACTCCTTCCTTCCCTTCCTTCCTTCCTTTCTTCCTTCCTTCCTTCCTTCTCCAGCCTGCTGCATCACATCCTAAGGATCACACCGTGAGCACCCTTCTCTATGTTCTCTGTCACCCAAGGGTTTTGTCTGTGTCTGTCCCCCACTGTATCAAGCTCCCACTGCACCAGGCACTGAGTCTCTAGCTTCTCGTTCCCCACTATCCCCTTCAAAGATCCCCTTCACAGATGGACTGTGGATACAAGCATCTCTGCTAAGCTCTCTCCTCCTAAGCTCTTGTTGGAGACAGAAAAAAACTGCTCTGGGCCAGCCATAGGTGCTGTGGAGAGGACCATCACAAGCCCCAACAGCCAGTGACAGGGACTTGGCATCACAGCTGGGGGAAGGGAGGAGTTAGAAACCTGAGTGAACTTTTCTTGCGTTGTCCTTCTGATGGCTGAGTGTTCTTGCTCTGGAAGCTCAAAGGCAGCAAAGCACCCTATCCTCATCCTACTTCACCCCCTAGAAGGTGCCAAGAATTCCTGTCTGTGTCCATACCACTTCTTGGATTGCATCTCTCCCAAAACTATATGTAAGATTCCCCACCACTTCTAGCCTCTATTGCCCAGATTGGGGTCAGAGGTCAAGGCAGGATTCCAAGTGATGGGTGGAAGGAAATGGACAGTTACTGGACGTCTCTATACCAATCAGCCACTGGGCTGGCTGCCTTACATGCATTAGCTCATCTAATCTGAAAACTTCACAGGTTCGGCAAGGACAATGGCCCCCAGCCATACAAGGTTTTACTATTTCCAAAGCACTTCCTTTACCCTTGTGATTACCTCCTAACCCTGTCAGATAGGCAGAGCAAATACTGTCCTTCCCATTTTACAGATTCAAAAACTGAGGCTAAGAGATTGGTTTAGAGATTGGCTAAGGGATTAGCTAGTATCCAGTGGAGCCAAGACTTAAACTTGGGTCTTCTTATGCAAAATACCATTATCTTTCCACTGAAGCAACCCCTAGGCTCCTCCTGAAACAGAACACTCAACAAGGAGGGCCTGTTCAGCCTATTCCTGACCACTGTCTTGTGGTGGGCACAGAGCCTTGGAGAGAGTGGTGACAGGGAAGAGAGGAAATGACAAAGTGCACAGGGCTGTTTCTACCCTTGAAAGAGCACCCAGTCTGGAGGAAAGTGGAGTCAGACACACCCAAACCTGACAGAGGTGGGGAAGCATGCAGGCAGGTGGACAGACCTCCAGGTCTCCAAGCTGGGGACACAGAAAACTCTGAGCTGAGAGGAGGAGGTAGCTGACAACTGGGCCTCAGCAGCATCCATCTCCACATTTCTGCTTTGTGCCAAATGACTTTGTACCTGCAAAAGTTGCTTCAATGTTCTTTTGTATGTTTAAGCTGTGACTCTGTGTATATTTTGCAGTCTCCTGGCTAGATTGTAAGCCCTCTGAGGGCAATCAAGTTCTTGGATAGCTTCTCCTATCTACCTGCCCTCATCAGTCTTATCTAACACAGTGTTCTGCATATAGTAAGCACTCAATAAATGCTCATTTGTCAATAAGTGCTATTTCTTCCACAAGTTGGAATGGTCAGTTCAGTCCAGCTACCAGAGACAGACTGGGCTCTCTACCATTTCTACCCAAGCCCTCAGCTTCTCCCAGGGAATCTGGAGGTCTTGCATCAGGAGAGAAGGGGAGGGGGCTGTCCCTGGGAGAATCTAGTTCCTGCTGCCACAAGTGAGGAGACCCATCTCCTCCCAGGGAAGCATTTCTCCATAGCTGGCAGAGCCAAGACAATTCCAGGACATAATGGCTCTAGGAGTTTTTTATAACAATCTGGAGACAGTGTGACCTTGATAGAGATGAAGAGTCTCAGGCACAAACCTAGGAAATAGGACTAGCTGTCACTTGTGAGTAACCTTGACAGATTAGGCCTCCTTTGACCTTCCCAGGCCCACTCTTGGTGACCACGTCTGTGTGACAACTTGTGGTTCCCATCTCAGGCTGTGTGATCCTGGGCAGGTAACCTTTGAGTCTGGGTTTCCTCATAAGGTTGCTTGGAATTAAATCACACAGTGGAGGCCAATTATAGTTTATAGTTTTGTGGCCTATATTCTGAATCCTCACAAATTCTTGGCCTTTACAGTCCTTTGTTAACTGGAAAGGACAAAGCTCAAATCTGCAGGTAGGGGCTTCCTTTGGTGCTCAATCTCCTGTGAGCACTTGAGTCCCAGAGACCACTCCAGGATGATGGAGTTTGAGACTTGTGGATTCATGAAAACAGAGCCTGGGGAGAGAGGATGAGAAAGAAGATACAAGGGTGCAGACTGAAGGCAAGTGTAGTAGTGAAGGATTCTGGCCCCAAGGTCTCCAAAGTCATCAGGGTCATTGTCCAGTCTGAGATCAACCCTGAAGACAACCCTGCATATATCTGCCATGCTCTGCTGGGACCTGGGACCCATGGGAGAAGGAACTCCTGCCATTAGTAGGTAGCAGGGGAGGAGCTGCTTCAGCAGGAAATGCCAGAGCAGATCCGAACAATGTTGAGGTTTCTTTGGCCCCTTGTTTTCTTTGGCCTCTTAGCTGTCAGGAGCCCAGAGCCCTCCTCCAGGTCCTTGGTTTTTCTGTGGGCTCCTCTCCCTCAGTCCCTGACAGTAAGACCAGGAGGTACCTGTTCTCTCCCTTTGCTGTACCCTGGGGCTTGAACCCTCAGGGGACTTTTTAAGTTAATCACAGCATGAGGAAACTTTACTGAACTTTGCTCTGGGCCAGGCATTGTGCTGCGTGTTTCTCAAACATGCGTGGCAGAGCCGGTGAGGGGTGCAGCTCCTCTCCCAGGATCCTGAGGGTGGGTCCCTGCCCTTGCTCCAAGCCCTGGAGAGCCCTCCAGCCTCATTTCCCCACATACCAAAGCTGGGGATGGGAAGATGGAGGAGTGAGAGGGACAGTGGAGAGGGGCTGGGAACTCAGAGGGAAGAGTCAAGGATGAAGCAGGGGGAATGGGAAGAAAGTGTTGCCCAGACCAAAAATGACTTGACTTTGAAGGGACTGAAAAAGACCATGTGTAAGAGAGATGGGCACAGAAAAGTAGAGGCAGACAGAAACAAAGACACAGAAATTAAGAGAGGCTGAAGAAAGATGAAATGGAGAAACAGAAACAGATGACTAGAGACAGAAACTAAGACTATAGAAGGAAGGAAAAAGAAAATGAGGGTGAGAGAGAGAGAGAGAGAAAGGGAGGGGGAGAACTTACGAGAAAGATTGAGAAACAGAAACAGACTGAGAAAAAGAGAGCAGGGAGGAGACTGATGGAGGGACAGGCACAGAGATGAAGAGAGAGAGAGAGAGAAAGAAATAGAGATAGAAAGTTGTTGAAAGACCAACAGGGTTAAGAAAGACGGATTGCGACAGGGAGAGAAACCAGGACTGAATGAGGGTTTAAAGACGAGACTAAGGGGGAAGAGAGGAGAAGGAGGAAAGAGGGAAAGCTGAAGTTTTAAGGTGAGGAGGGGGATGGGCCATGTATCAGGGAAGCAAGACAGACCAAGACCCCACACCCCAACCTCCAACCTGCAGTCCCATAGCCTCTTTCCTGACCCTAAGCAAACCCGAATTAGTTATCTCACCTCCCAACACACACAAAAGGGTAACCCTGCCCCCCAGCCCCCACCCCGCAGCTCCTGCTGAGACTCGCTGCAGAGATCCCCAAAGAAGGCTGAGCCTCAGACGGCTGCCTCAGAGGGCACCTCCGGAGTCTGCTGCCTCCTCTGGACACTGGCAGGATAAGTGGCGTCGAGGATTGCTAAGTGCCTCTGATCCCAACGCCCGCTCCGCCGGGAGAGGCCCCACTACCGACCGGACCGCCCCCCGCCCCCGGCGGACAGGGAGCTAAGAGGCGCTGTGCCCAGGAAGTCGCATCACTCCGGTCCAGCCGTGGGTGAGGCCGGGTCAGGATGCTCGAGTCACAGGAGGAAAAGAAAGAGTTGGCGCACAGAAGCTCAAAGAAGAGCAGAAAAGAAGACCACGGGCGGAGGTGAAGGCCCAGCGGAGGTGGACTGGAGAGCCCGGTTCTTGCCACGTCCCGCGGGGAGCCCGAGACGCACAGCGCCGAGGCGAGCGCGGGAGCCGCCTGGAGCGCACCATGCGCGGGTCCCCGGCCGCCGGGCCCGTCTACACCGCCGCCTGGGTCACGTGGCCCGGGCGAGTCCGCCGCTGCCCTGGCGGGGGGGCGCGCGGGGCGCGCGGGGCGGGGGCCGCCGGGTTTGCTCCCTGCTCGCTGCGCTGGCCCCGGATGGCGGGAGCCGCCCACTGCCCCCCCGCGGCCACGCCGCCGCGGGGCGCCCGCCCTCTATATATCGCACCCCTGTCCGGTCCGTGCCAGGCCACCAGCCACGGAGTGGGCGCCGGACAGCAAGTACCGGCCCGCAGCCAGACCCCCGCCACCACAGCTCCGACGGCCGCCCCGAGCCGCGGCCGCTGCCACCGTGCCCCCAAGGCCACCATGAAGAAGGAGGTGTGCTCGGTGGCTTTCCTCAAGGCTGTGTTCGCTGAGTTCCTGGCCACCCTCATCTTCGTCTTCTTCGGCCTTGGCTCGGCTCTCAAGTGGCCGTCAGCGCTGCCCACCATTTTGCAGATTGCGCTGGCCTTTGGCCTGGCCATAGGCACCCTGGCCCAGGCCTTGGGGCCTGTGAGCGGAGGCCACATCAACCCGGCCATCACCCTAGCGCTCTTAGTAGGCAACCAGATCTCCCTGCTCCGGGCGGTCTTCTACGTGGCAGCCCAGCTGGTGGGCGCCATTGCTGGGGCAGGCATCCTCTATGGGTTGGCACCACTCAATGCCCGGGGCAACCTGGCCGTCAATGCGGTGAGTGTCCACGGGGCAGGGGAGGGGTGGGCATAGATCCTTGGGAGCGTTCAGGAACCAGGTTTTCATGTCCCATCTTGGGAATGGGTACAAGTGAGTAGACTGGAGCACACCCTTGCCTCCAGCCAAGCTGTGCACCCTGACCCCAGCCACCCTGGTTCGTATCTACCTCCTCTACCCACTCCTCTCTGCTGCCCCGCCTGGCCCTCTCCTGGTGTCCACTGCCCTTCCTTTCTGCCCTTTCTCCTCTCTCACCTTTTGTGCTCTTTCTTTGGACTCCCGCCCACCCCCACACACACACCTCTCCTGTCTGCCCCTGAGTGGAATAGCTTTGGTGAAACCATCAGAGAAATGGGTTGTAATCCTGGTTTGGGGTGGCCCTGGTCTCTGCTTCATTTTTCTCCACCATTGTACAGAGATGGTCATACCATAGCAGGGGTCATGGGAATTATATTTAGAAACTGTGAGGTGACCCCCGCCCTTCATGTGGTGCCAGTGCACTGCAGTCTCTGTTGAAGTTTGGTTCCCTCTTTCCTTACCCTGGTTTTTGCCCCCTGATGCCTCCCAGCTTCTGCAGTCCCAGATTCAGCCCCCTGTCCCATGCAAACTGGGTTCATTAACCAAACACAGAGGAGGATTTTCATGGCCATTGTCAAGCTGTGAGTCAGCCACACTGGAGAGACGGGTTTGAGGTTGGCACCAGCAGCGGGTCATGCACGGGTAGGAGGCCAGGGGCAGTTTGCAGTAGGCAAACTGGGCAGCTGCCCACAGGAGGGAGGGTAAATGCCAGCTCACTGGGGCTGGGGGTTGGGCAGAGCCATTGACAGGACAGTGGCCAGGAAAAGCTCCCCTGACGCTCTGCCCTTTGGCCACAGGCCTGAACTTCAAGCTTGTGCACACTGCAAACTATAATTTCTTCAATAAATGGCCTCTCTGAGGTGGCATGCATGTGGTTAGGCTTCCAGGTACTGAGGCTCTGGGTGTCCTTGGAGGCCCATGGAGCCATAGCGCCTGAAGGGAGCAGGGTCCTGTGTCCTCTTGCAGCTCAACAACAACACGTCACCAGGCCAAGCCGTGGTGGTGGAGATGATCCTGACCTTCCAGCTGGCGCTCTGCATCTTCTCCTCCACTGACTCCCGTCGCACCAGCCCTGTGGGTTCTCCAGCCCTGTCCATTGGCCTGTCTGTCACACTGGGCCACCTCGTGGGGGTGAGTGGTGCTGACTCTTTGCTGGAGTGCCATGTTGGGGATCCACTCAGGGCAAAAATGGAGCCCCAGAGCAGTGTCCCCTCCAGTCCAGTGAGACCCAGCAGAGTTTAAGGCCTCATCTTGGGGCTGCTTGACTCTGGCCCTGTTTGACCCCAGATTTAATCCTCCCAAACCTCCTCTGGACCAAGGAAAGAGTAAGTGGAAGGCAGGGTAGGGTCAAGGACTCAAGCCCAAGCAAAAGACCAAGAAGAGAAGATGGCAAGGGGCTCATGGTTAAGTGTACATCAGAATCAGTGGAGGGAAAGGTCACCAGCCTAAGATCCAGGCAGCTTCAGTTTGAGACTTGGTAACCCCTGGACTTCTGTGCAACCCTGGGAGAGCTGGGCTCTGTGGGAGTGGGTGGGGATGCTGTCTTCCTCACTGATGACCCCGTCTCCCCCAATCCCTGTCGATACAGATCTACTTCACCGGCTGCTCCATGAACCCAGCCCGCTCTTTTGGCCCTGCAGTGGTCATGAAGAGGTTCAGCCCCGCACACTGGGTGAGTCTAGGCCTCCCTTGACTCCCTGGCATTGAGAGTCTGGAATCCTGGTGGTGGCAGAGAACTGAGTGGACTTTCAGAATGCTGTGGGCACAGAACCTGGGGATGGGCTAGAGATGGGAGTTAACACAGAAGAGGAAGGATGTGGCCAGAAAGAAAGGGGGGCGGGAATTTATGTGACCTGAGGCCCTAGGAAAAGAGGCCTTAGGGAAGAGGGGAGAGTCTGTCCCTCTAGGAAAGGGATCTGTACTTTCTCTAGAGGAACAGAGGGATCTGTGGATCTTTTCTAGGATTTTGTCTGTCCCTCTGGGCATTTGTGTATTTGAACTCTGTGTTTATTTATCTGTTCCTGTTGAGGAGTTGGGAGAGTGTGTTTGTGGGTCTGTCCCTCTGGACAACCTGCAGCCTTCTTTGAGAGTTATAGTCATTTCTCCAGGGACTATCCTTATGTGAAGGGGAGGGTTCTGTCCATCTGTGCCTGAGCATCTATACATCTGTCTGTCTCCTCTGAGGTTCACTTGTCTCTCTTTAGGGTTAGGTTGGAGGGGCCTGTTCATCTTGGACTCTGTCTGTGATCCATGCCTCTGTCACTAGGGAGTGGGCTGTCAGAATATCTGTTCCCAAGATGGGAGGAAATCTTTCCCTCTAGAAGTCTGGAAGCCTGTATGTCCATCTCTCAGGGTCCATAGGTCTGTCCTCTGGTGGGGAAGGTCTTGGTCCCTGAGTCCTGGGGCTTAGCCTCTGACTTTGGCCCTGTCTCCCTCAGGTCTTCTGGGTGGGGCCCATCGTGGGGGCCATCCTGGCTGCCATCCTCTACTTCTACCTGCTCTTCCCCAACTCCTTGAGCCTCAGTGAGCGTGTGGCTATTATCAAAGGCACATATGAGCCTGAGGAGGACTGGGAAGATCATCGGGAGGAGCGGAAGAAGACCATAGAGCTGACTGCCCACTGACCAGCATCAGGCAGGGGCTGGCCCCTTAGCCCATGAACCTCAGGAGAAAACGAAGAAAACTGACAGCAATGCATCATTCCCCACCCCACAGCTGGTCCTCTTGGCTGGGGGAGAAGGTGCTGGCTCCCTAGACTGTACAGATAAAGATGGGAACAGAACCCATAATGGGACACTTGGGTGGAAGCCAGGACTAGAGACTGGTGGGGTCAGTCTCTCTGGAATAGGGCAGACCTTGCTGTCACATGTCAGACCTCAGAGATTGTGAACACAGTGCCAAGCTTGTGGACCACCCAGGGCCCTGCCTGAAAGGGGTGGCTGCAGTCTGTACCCCCCCAACTCAGTGCCTCAAGAGTGAGAGCCAGCCCTAGGCAGGCAGAGGGGGACCCTTCCCCCAAGAGCTTCTCAGCAGGAAAACAGTTTGGTCTGTGGAATACCACTTTATTTATTTCTGGTCGAGGATATGTGGGGTGGGCCTGCTGGTATTTGGCTTGAGGGCTTCTCAATAAACCACTGCTCTTCTCATTCTGTCTTTTCCTCTCCCCAGAAACCTCTTGGGACACTCTGGCCTGTCACTTCTCCTCTTTGGATCTCATACCCTCCCCAGTAATCTCCACAGGGTACAAATAGACCCCAAGACAAGTTTTCTGGAAAGGCCAGGGGAAGCCTAGAGGATGAAGGGTGGGGAAAAACAGAGAAGGGCAAATATGGAAATAGAACTAGAGACCAGGAGGGAGGGGTCCTCACCCAAGTCACGAGCCCCTTCACCCCTCCCTTCTTGGCAATGTCAAGTCCCACCACTTGAGGAGGGCCTGGTATCTGCCGTGGTTTGCCAGGCAGGGTGGAGGAGAAGTAAACTGCAGCCACTTGAGATGCCAAGGGGGTGACCAGTCATGTTCTGTTATGCCAAGGAGGCACAGCCCTGAGCTCTCTCCTCTACACCTTGGTGTTTCAAAAAGGTGAATGTTGGGAGCCTGTGTTTAGAGGTTATACCTCCTGTCCTTCCCCTCCACACACCCAAGACACTCCCAGCACAGTCCTGTCCCAGGTCTCTTTTTTGCCTCTGCTCTTCAGGGTCCCCTGTCCCACCACCCTCCCATTTGCCCTTGCCTATTCTAGGCCTATTACCACTGACACTCCTCAGGAAACCTCCTTAACCTCTCTGAGCCACCATTTCTTTATCTGTAAAATGGACACAAAATGCTTCTCTCAAAGGGGAGTCCTGGTAATCAGATGACGTGAGGGAATGAGGTGCCTGCCACTGGAAAAAGTGCAGAAGCCACATGAATGAACAGTTCAGGACACAGCCTGGCATTGCAATAAAGAAGTCCAGTGGGTAACCCATGATCAAATCTTGCTGGCAACTTCAGTTAATACCTACCTCACACACAGGTTGCTGTGAGAAGACAATGAGACAATGGCTGGGGGTGAAATACTAGTGCAGACAGGACCAGGCACCTGGCAAGTGCTCACAGGTGGTGTGCCTGGTGAGGGCCCACTTGGACCTGAGCCCTCAGCTGCAGCCCCTGCTGGAAGATGGTGTCTGATCTGTGCTCCTGCATCTCTGCTATGGGACACTCTCCCCTTTTCTTCAGTTTTGCCTAAGCAGAGCAGGGAGGTGGCACTGAGAAGGAAAGGGAGAAGCTGCAGACCGTAGCAGGCGAGGCCAGACCGCCTGGCCTCCTCCCAACTGGAGTCTAGGTCTGTGAGTGTCTGCTCCCACCACAGCCTGCAGGCCTCACATGCTTCCTGTGAGTGCTAAGTGGCAGAACAGGTGTGTGAAAACCTCGGGAGCCCCCACCACGCTCCATCCCACCCTTAACCTTCCCACTTGCCAAAGCAAGCCTCCCTGGCTCCCCAAGCCAGGAGCTGAGCTGCAAGCTCAAGCTATGGCCAGCAGGGGGCGGCCTCGCCCACCAAATCCACAGCCAGGGCTTGTTCTTTCTGAGTTCTAGGGTTGGGCTCTCTCCAAGTGGGGATGGCGCTAGGAGCAGGGGTGGGGACCCAGGGAATCTCTCAGGCTTGGGCTCCCTGGGGCCGCCAGGAAGCAGTCTGTCCCCAGTCCAACCCACCCCACGATCCAGGAAGAGGTGCAGAAGAAAGGAGAGCCTCTCCGTCAGTCCCCAGAAGACTCATGTACAGGTATAGCAGTGACAGGGAGGCTGGCCTCTCTCCTGCCCAACAACCTGCATGCCTTTCTGTGATGGGCCCCAAGGGGGAGAGTGACAGGGTAAACGGTAGGCCCATAAGTAGCTACCCTGGGGCGGCTGAGGCATCCCCAGAGGGAGTTACAGGCCTTGAGTTTACAAGTTGCCGTGCTTGGGGCTGTTTGGCCGGCAGGGGGCGTTGTGCTCCTGTCTGATCTTCCATGTGCTGACAAAGACCTAGCACAGGAGCACAGGCACACTAACCCTGCACATCTGTGGGACTGCCTGCCACATGCTGACCTTCAGCTGTGCCCAAGGGGCTTCATCTTCTCGGTGTGTGTGCCTCTTCCCTCAACATAGATACACTTGCTTCAGGTATGCAGAGCCAAGCAACCCTCCCCAACGAAATTCAGTCTTGCAGGACCACCTGGGGACTATACCTATGGAGCTATCTCCACATTTTCTCAGGCACACATGTGTGCAATCATGCCCCAGCACACACATACTCAGTCCCCTTTGTGACCCTCTGTTCCACCTGAGGATGGAATCCAAGAAGAGCCTAAATTCTCCAATTGGCAGCTCTCCCCAGAGGCTACCAGTTTCTCCCAAGGGTAGGTGGACATGGTGACATGATGGAGAGATGGAAGAGGATCAGGGCTAAAGGTGGAGAATGAATACAGGGTGGCTGTTGAGATGGATGGACAGGAGAAGAGATCACTGGGAGGATCAGTTTCTTAGGTCCCCTCAGCCCCTCCTCAGCTCCTCACTTTCCTCCTTGGTCAAGTTGGATAAGGATTGAGACCTCCCAACCTGCCCACATTTTATAGCAGTCAGTGAAATGATACACCAGAAGCCACCTTGAACTCCTTCCTGTCATGTTTTGATTCTCTCTCCTCCTTCCCCTCCCTCCTGCTTGTTCTACCCTCCTTAAGCCCTGAGAGGGTCTCAGTCAGAGCTCATATCAACAGGCAACCACCCAGACAGTCAGTTGTGGGACCTTCGCAAAGGGTCTCCAAGCATGAGTGACCTTGGCACTGGAGCCCAGGAATGGCTGGGTCCAGGAAGGTGCTGGCTAGGGCAGGCAAAACCAGACTGGAGCAAGCCCTGGTCAGTGCCCATCTGCCTTCAGGGGGTGAAGGACCTTGTCCCAGGCCAGGCAGGGCCCAAGGAAGAGCTGCCATTGCACTTAATGCCCTCGGCTTCCAGCACCCAGAGCACAGCTGTAACTGCTGCTGGTGCCAGATCTGCAACAATAATCAGGACCCTCTCACCCCAGCCCAGTCTCCACAGCTGTCTCCCTGGAGAGAGGAGAGGAATTGCAATCCTAATAGTGGACATTTTCTGGCCAGAGATACTTTTCCTAGGTATCAGTGCATTTACTCCTACCATCACATGAGGAGGTAGGAATTGTTCCCATTTTATAAGCAAGGATACTGAGATCACAGACGTTAAGCAATTGGTCAGGAGCACTATGCATATGTATTATGTATCTGTATACGTATATGTTTGTATATGGCAATCACTGCTGTTAGGTGCCTGTCTTACAGGTGCAGTCTAGGTCAGATGTGAGGACTGGTAAGTGTCTGTCCACCAAGGCTTCTATTAAGCTCATCTGAACAGAAGGGCTCTTGGGGTATGCTGGGACACCCTGGCCCAGTCACTCTCCATCCTTTCTTGAGTGTTTCTTGGGTGACTCCTCTGTGCCAGGCAGGGTGGAATTGTACACTGAAACAGCAAGACAGAGGAGACAAAGGCCATGAACAGCCCCTGACTTCGCTGGAGCCTGACCTGTATGAAACTTTCCCTGGTTCTGCTGAGAAGGAAAAGCAAGGGTGGCTTCATAGAGGAATTGCACTTGAGCAAAGTCTTGAAGGAGAGAGGAGGAAAGGCCTTCCAAACACAAAGTGCACAGGCTCAGAAGCTTATGTTTGGCCTGGCTAGAGTAAAGAGAGTAGTGTGGGAAGTGGGAGGGATCCTTCCTTACATATTAGACATAGATACTTGATCTTGAGACAGCAAGGAGCCATTGAAGGCTTTTGAGCTGAAGAGTGACATTATCAGAATGGCATTTTGGAAGACTTTCTGGCAGTAGAGATGAGTAGTTGGAGGGCCATGGATGTAGTGTACTTCAAGAGCCCAGGAGGAGGCTAATGCAGTCATCCTGGGAGAGATGACTCTGGACTGGGCCAGAGGCAAATGAGGATAGGAAGAGGTGTCCAGTGTGAGAAAGAACTCCCAAGCCCCTGACCACCCAGTGAGAATGGTTGAGAGAAAGAGGACTACCCACATGATCCCTGGTTCTAGCCAGCACAGCTGAGTGAGTGATGGAACCACTAAAGGGGAAAGGGACAAGGAGGGGTGGCCACAGGTGCAGAGCAGAAGCCACATGGGCTTGGAGTCCAGGAGAGAGGCCCACAGCTTTCGGAGGATATAAAGGCCACCCCTCCTTGTCCCTTTCCCTCAACCATGATACTGCCCAAACACTATCTTGTCGGGAGTGAGAAGAGCAGTGGACCAAGGACAGACAAGGCCTGGGATTAAGGTGAGCAGAAGAGAAGCCAACAGGAGAGGCCAAGGACACAGCCTGAAAGGCGGAAAGAGCCAGCAGATGGCCATATCTCATAAGGCAGGAGAAGCTTCAAGAAGCCAGAGATGGTTGGCAGTGCACATGCCATAGTGGGCCAAGGAGGAAGAAGGCCAAAGCTCAGGGGGCCTGGCCTGAGTAGTGTCAGCCCAGGAGTTGGTGGGCCTCATGACGTAGTGCATGAGTAACTGGAACTTTGACTCCAAACCATGACCTTCCACCAGGGTCCTGATTACCCAGGACCTTTACAGGGAAGAATTCAGGGAGAGGGAGGAGTGAGAGCCACAGTGAGACTGGCAATGGCTAAGAACAGGCCACAGTCACTCAACAGGAGCCAAGACACAGGATCCCCCAGTTGGACACAGGAGAAGTGCTGCCTCTCCCTCAAAGTCACTGGCCACAGGGAAGGCCATGGGTCATGAGCTTGAGGCTGAAGGATGGGAGAAGCCTTGCTAGATGTCTGGGTAGGAGAAAATCAGAGGGAGCAGGGTGTTTGAGAAGAGTTGGGGAGGTTTGAAGAACTGGGGAGAGTCAACTGGGGCTAGTGGAAGGATTGCTGAGCAGGGATCCAGTCCCTGCTGAGGACAGAGACCTTAGACTGTGGCAGCAGCCTGCATGGCTGGCCAGTTTCTCCAGCAGGGCCCAGAAGCACAGATGGGACTGAGAGGCATGGAAGAGAATGAAAATGGAGCTGTGGAGAGAACAGGGAGCCAGGAGTGGAGCACTAACAGCAGAGTGAGCTGAGTAAGATGCCAAGGGGTCCTCTGGGAGGAAAGCCAGGATGCCATGAAGAACAGAAGTGGTGAGTGAGGGGTGGGGTTTTGTTGTTTTTTATTTGGGGTTGGTGTTTTTTTCTTTTTACCTTGCTGGGGGCATGGTTCAAGTGGTAGAGCACCTACCTAGAAAGATGCTGCATTCAAACTCCAGTACTACAGGGGAAAAAAAGTTGAGGCAAGGTTTGCTATGTAATTGACACTAGCCTTAAATTCATGATTTTCCTGCTTCAACCTCCTGAGTGCAGGGATTAGAGGTGTGCACCACAACACCTAACTGGGTGAGGGATTTTACTGAGACTGATATAGGGAAGAGGGTGCAGAGCCTGTGTTTCAGAGTTGGAATGTTCCCTTGAAGTTATTAGAGGGCTCAGTTCCAGGGGAGGAAGACTGGAATGAAGCAGACATGAAAGTCAGCTGCCTCCAGGAGGTCAGCAAGTTTTCATTCATTCACTCATTCAAAAAATATTGAATACATACCATAGCCAGTCTGTGTGCAAAACACTGCATACAGGAATGAACAGAATATGGTTCCTGGGCTGGTGGTGTGGCTCAAGTAACAGAGCTCCTGTTTAGCAAGAGCAAAGCCCTTGGTTCCTGCCCTCTAAGGGGCCATCTCCTGGATCTCCTTGTTGGGGAGACACATTCACACAACAAACAAACACCCTGTGGTACACATGTCTGGGCATGGTGGGAACAGACAGAGGGGTCCTTGGCCAGGAGAGTAGCAGATGACGTAGAAGCTGAGCCTTGGAGCCTTAGAGGTGACGGTTAAAAGTCATCCAAGCACAGCGCTCTCAGAGAAGTTGGGGGAGGGAGAGCCCCCCCACTGGAGGTGGGAGGTGGGAGCACTCCAGGGTGCTCATCCATCAGACCAGAAGGCAAAACGAAGCAAGGAGCGGGGCAAAGGGAGGCAGATGCAGAGCTTCCAGAGGGATGAGAGGCCTGGCACGGATTTCACCAGGGAGAGGCAGGCTCAGCTTTGCGTTCTGGAATGATCACTTGGACTGCAGTGTGGAGAATTGATTGAGTGGAGCAAGAGAGCAGAGAGACTGGCTCAAGGCTGCAGGGTGGCGAGAAGAGGGTGCAGTCAAGACATGCAGGATTCAAAATAAGTGGGGCTTGGTGCTTTCATTTTTTTTTTTTTTTTGGTGGAACTGGGGTTTGAACTCAGGGTTTCACACTTGCAAAGCAGGTGTTCTACCTCTTGAGCCATACCTTCAGTCCATTTTACTCTGGTTATTTTGGAGATGGGGTCTCTTGGACTATTTGTTTGCACTGACTTTGAACAGCAATCCTCCCAATCTCGGCCTCCCAAGTAGCCAGGATTATAGGCATTAGCCACTGGTGCCCAGCATTTGAAGCTTTCATTGGGTGAGGAAAGCGGAGAAAGTGTTGGTACCATCAACTGAGCTGGTACCAAGAAGGGGGGTGGGGAATGAGGATCTCACTTTGAGACAGATTGCATTTGAGGAGTCTGAGGACAGCCAGGTGACATCTATGGGCAGGTAGGTTTGGCCTGAGGAGAGGTCAGAGCACACAGGTATGGCTATTATTTCAACAGCTCTGTAGATTCTTCTGAGAGGAAACATGTTTGTTTGAGAAAGTGCCTTCATTTGCTGCTGGGAGTAAAAGGTGAGAGCCTAGGCATGAGTGACCTTAGGGCCAGCACAACTACAAAAGTGGAAAAGCTGCCCAGGGTGAGAAACAAGATACAGACAGAGAGAGGGGGACTGAGAAAGGGTTGAGAGAAAGGAAAGAGTACAAAAGGTGAGGGAAGAGCCAGTGGAAATTCCCACCAGTGGACAGCAGAGATGCCCACTGCCACGTGTGGGAGCTGGCATAGTTCAGCTGTGAAATGAACCCCTCCTCTAATGTCCACCTCTGCACTGCCCCCAGACCCATGTCCTTAGTGAAGATGACACTAAGGACAAATCTGTGTGTGGTATTTTAAGTGGGAATGGGGAAAAGAGCTTAATTCACATCTGGGTTTATGGGGGTCAGAGCCCAGAGGTAGGTGGGGCGGACTGGGAGAGTGGGAGTCCCTGTGAAGACACTGGCCTTGGACTTGGGGATTTATGTGAACTTACTCTAAGTGAACACAGGGAACTCGACTGCAGCTGCCCCTGTGCCTGCAGCCCTTAGGCTAGACCTCTTTCAGCAGCTTGAGTTTGGCTGGTCCTGGGAGGTTCCAGCTCAGTGCCCATAGACACCTCCTTACAGGCCCTGGCCCCCCTCCTGTCAGGCGAGGTCAGGGTGGAGCAAGCATGTGAGCACCACCCCTCCCACCACTCTGGCGCCTTCACCCCCAGATACGCATAACCCCATCCCACCCGCAGGCTCCCTGCCAGTCTGACCAGCTGGGTCCTTGAGGACAGCAGTGTGGTAGAGGAGCTGCAGGTGCAGCCAGTGAGGCCTCACAGAAAGGGAGCCCGCCAGATTCAGACAGAGACAAGAGACCGGGCAGACAGAGGGGCTCAGAGACAAGAGGCACAGAGGACAGGCCCCTCAAGGAAAGGAGGTGACAGCCAAGGCACAAGGCACCAAGACATGGAGCCAGGTCTGTGCGGCAGGGTTTACATGCTGGTAGGCAGGCTTCGGACTGCCATCAGCAAGGCGCTGTTCGCTGAGTTCCTGGCCACAGGGCTGTATGTGTTCTTTGGTGTGGGCTCTGTCCTGCGCTGGCAGGCACTTCCCTCTGTGCTACAGATTGCAATCACCTTCAACCTGGCCACAGCCACAGCTGTGCAGGTCTCCTGGAAGACCAGCGGGGCACACGCCAACCCTGCCGTGACGCTGGCCTACCTGGTGGGCTCCCACATCTCTCTGCCCCGGGCTGTGGCCTATGTAGCTGCCCAGCTGGCAGGGGCCACGGTAGGGGCTGCTCTGCTTTATGGGGTCACTCCTGGAGATGTCCGAGGAACCCTCGGGATCAACGTGGTAGGTGCAAGGAGGGGTAAGAGGCAGGTGAATGGGCAGGGGGCACCTGGCAGGGCCAGGAGGAGGGAGTCCAAACAGGTGGTAAGGGTGGAAGAGAGGGAAGGGAGGAAAAAACAATTCAGTTACTGAGCTGGGCTCTGGGCTCTTGAGGTGTCACCCCCTTGCAGTTGTTGAGGAGACTAGGCCCAGGGAATTCACCATCCTATGAGCAGAGTCCATGTCTACTCCAGCTTAACTCCTTCTGCCAAGGTCCAAAACAGCACCTCGACTGGCCAGGCAGTGGCAGTGGAGCTGGTTCTGACCCTGCAGCTGGTGCTCTGTGTCTTTGCTTCCACGGACAGCCGTCAGACATTAGGCTCCCCAGCCGCCATGATCGGGACCTCTGTGGCATTGGGCCACCTCATTGGGGTAAGGCACAAAGGCAGCACTGTGTACATGCACACAACAGGACCCTCTCTGGGGAAGGTGGGAGGCCCTGTAGGCCACAGGAGTCTCTCCCTGAGCCTCTCATGCTTTGGAGGCCAAGCCTTCTCACACACTGCCCTATACTTGTTTCCTAGATCTACTTCACTGGCTGCTCCATGAACCCAGCTCGCTCCTTTGGTCCTGCTGTCATCGTTGGGAAGTTCGCAGTCCACTGGGTGAGGCCCTCAGCTGACAGCCATAGGGAAGGGGGAGGGCCTGAGCAGAAGCAATAAAGAGGGCAGGTTTACAGTGAGGGTCCACAGAGACTTAGGGAGACAAGCCCCCACCTCCGGGTCAGTGGAGGTTTCCCTGATCAAAGAATGCCAGGGTGAGTATCCTGGCTTATGCTTCCTTTCTAGCTCCAGTAGCAGGTGGTACCCTGTGGACTGGCAAGAAATAGGCCAGGGCAGGAGCTGCAGCCTTGGCTCAGGCTTTATGTTCTGGCTATTTCCTTCTTCACTTTCTCCAGCTGGACCAATTTTCAAACTTGAATAAAGAAAAAGACAAACAGAAATAGACACACACCAGTAGAGACAGAAATGGCAATAGGCAGAACTTGGCTGAAACGGGGGAAGCAAGAGGAAAGAGGCGGGAGTAGGTGAGACCAGCCCTCAACTCCCCCCCACCATGACTCCCAGCCATGCCTGCATAGCCTGGGCCCCACAGCATAGAAGGCAAGGTCCCCTTACTTTTTGGGCTCCCTGGAGGCAGAATTCATGGTTCCAGAGTTAGCACTTTGTAAGCAGTTTGAGAGTTCCTGGGAGACCTGGTCAGCACTAGGGAAGTAGGTAGGGTCCCAAAGCCACTCTAAGATCCTAATGGCTCACGGGTAGGGTGCCTACTTCTGTCTCCTCAGATCTTCTGGGTGGGACCCCTGACAGGGGCTGTCCTGGCTTCGCTGATCTACAACTTCATCCTCTTCCCTGACACCAAGACTGTGGCCCAGCGACTAGCCATTCTGATGGGCACCACAGAGGTGGAGAAAGTCTTAGAAGTGGAGCCCCAGAAGAAAGAATCCCAGTCCCAGTCTAGTTCAGGGGACATTGAAGTGAGCGTGTGACATAGTATAGCACTTGGGCCTCTCAGGCTTGAGAGAAGAGGCCTGCAGGTGGGCAGACCTGACATAAGGCTTTCAAAGGGGAAACTGGGAGGCTTGGTCTCTTGTCCTCACAGGGTGGGTGGGAGAAGGGGATATGTCAATGATGTCAATGCCTATCTGTTTACACTTTTCTATCATTTCTCTTTCTTTCTTTCTTCCTTCTTTTCTTCTTTCTTTCTTTCTCTTTTCTTTTTGGACCAGTCTTGATGCACTGCCCAGGCTAGCCTTAAACCCATGATCCTCCAGATTATAGGTTCCAGAGTAGCTGGGACTACAGACACACCACCATGTCCCGCTTCCACATTTATAGAATGAATGTGGGACCAAATTCATCCACTTCACTCCCCCTAGGACTTCCCCATTTCTTAATAGGACAGAGTAAAAGGGACTTCACGACGTCTCCCTTTCTCTCACCCAGCTGGACCCCAATGGGAGTCCTGGGTCCCAGATCCCTGTATTTGGGGGAAGGAGAATTAGAGCCCAGACAGCCATTCTGCTTGGATTCCAACCAATGGACCTCAGGGAGCCCCAACTTCAACCACCCATGAAGCCCTTTGGGAGAAGGAGATGAGGCTTCCCGTAAGAACCGGGCCCTCAGACAGCCTCTACGCTCCTCAGAGGGATTTCTATGCCTGTGGGGGATGCTTTGGGCACTGCCACTCCCCTGTTAGACTAGGGACTTCCTGGGAACAGAGAGTGCCTTCCTGAGAGATCTTCATTCCTCACTCTCCCAAATGCTTGGGAAGAGCTGACACAGGAACTTTTCCTTGGGCTGGCCAAGGAGGATAAGGAAGGGAGCTTTGGGCTAGACAGGCCCATCACAGGGTAGGCTTTCCCCAGGAATTTGCTCTGACTCCCACCCCCCAGACCCAGTCACATGAACAATCCTGAGAGGGGAACCTTCTTCTCCTGCCCTCAGTTCATCACGGGACCCCTAAAAGAGTGTTTAAAGAAGTCCTAGGGACAGTAAGATCCAGGAAACTAAGATTTGAGGTTTAGTGTCTATTAAACACTCTGGGAGTCTAAATTGATTTGTTAAAATTTAAAGGCTACAGTAAATCTACTCTGTGACTTGGGGTCCTATCTGGATTTTAGCTTCCTCAGCTGTAAAATGGGCACAATCTTCCCCTAGGGACAGCCATGAAAATGATGAGATTAAAAAGTGGTTTTGGAAGTTAAAATGTTATTAAACCAACTCCAATAAATGATTATTCTTGCAGTTACTCTAATTATTGGGTTTGAATACAATTGCTGTTGGTAATGGGAGAGAGGAGGGAGGGGGAGAAAGAGGGATGATTGAGAGGGAGGGAAGAGAGCAGGTTTTGCTTTCCTTAATCAGATCTACTTACAAGAGGCCCTGCCTGCTTCTCTCTTGGGTCTGCTGACCTGGGAGCTTTGTGGGTATGGGAGATTGGGGGAGGGGCCCTGGAATGAAAAGACAAGCCAACAAAAGTCAGTTCTTCTCATCTCTATGACGCCCATCACCATGGTACCGAGATGCAGCAACCAAATCCATAAAAAAGTTATGTCCTTTTCCATGATAGCTCCCAAGGGGCTGGAAGATGGGGGTGGGGCTGCCAAAGTGTTCCAGGGACAAGGTAACAGGCTCAGCCTGTGACCACTGCAGTAGATGAGTCCCTAGTGCTTGTGGCCCCCTCAGCTGTGCTCAGCTTTCTGTGCTGTCATCAGTGCCAGTTTGTCAGTGCTATTCACATCTCTCCAAGTGGGGTTCCACTCATCCATCTTCAAAATCTCTCAGAGCCCAGGGCTTCCTGTGCCCTTTGGAGAGCTGGGTGTGTGTGTGTGTGTGTAGAGAGGATGATTGATTTACTAAAGGTCACTCAGCTCAGTTGCATAGACCCCTATGGTTACCCCAGCTCTCAGCTTAGAATTTCCCAAAATAGAGCTCTAGGGGGGCTTACAGGAGCTGCAGCCACAAAAAGGAAGGAAGGAGGAGGGAAATGGAGGGTTGGAGAAGGGTGGGAATTCTGCAGTAGGCTGTTAAGCTTCTTGACAAATTATCTCCACATCCCCACAGCCAAGCACACACTGGGTGCTCAATAAAAGTTTGATGAATGAATGACTGAGGCTAGGTGGTTGGGGAGGGAGAGGAGGCAGTAATTGATCAAGAGAAGAAAAATGCAGGAGTTGCAGAGGCAAATGAGCCAAAATGACAGCAGCTTGAGAGGCCTCTGCTTCCAGGCAGGGGCTAGGAAAAAGGTGGTAGCCAGGCATTTGAGTCTCCAACCACTACTCCAGAGCAGCCTGGGCAACCTGGTCCCAGAATTTACTAGCCAAAGGGCAAGTGTGGGTGCCTGCGTTCAGAGCTGGGGACTATTTTCACTGATAGTTCTTTAGCAGGATAATTAGAGTGGAAGATTAGCTTCCTGACAATCAAGGAATTAGGTTAGAAGCTGAAAAGCATGGAAGGTTAGACATAAAAGTAGGTAACCAAAGGTTACCTTCTCCTTCTCTGGAGCCCTTTAATAGGACAGCGGGCCATCTGTTAGGATGAGGGAAGAACTGGCCTTTGGCAAGCCAGACTCAGTAATTCAAGCTGGGAAAGCAGTCTTCACCACCGTGGCCCCTGGGTCTAGGGAGGAGGGAGGGGACCTGGAGAGGATAGAGACCCAACCAGGCAAGACCTTGGTGTGCATTCTCTGTCTCCCATTTGTCAGGGAAAGTTTTTAATTAATAGTGTGTAATCTGATCTGGCCCTTCTCCCTGCTGAGCACTGCCTTCAATCAGTGGAGCCATCTGCAATTGCAATTCATAATTCTCCCAAAAGGGAGGGGGACTTGGGATGGGTGCCTTGGTGATTAATACAATTAGCCTTTTATGTGGATGATTGTCTTAGCAGGAGCAGATGATGTTAGCTCAGAGCCCAGGCGGTCACTTCTGATTGGCTGGCAGGAAGCCCCTCACTCACTTTCCATCTACTGCTGGTCTTATACCTCCAGGTATAAGGACAGGTCTCTTCTGAGACCAAATTGCAAGGAGGAAAAACCCAGGAAGGGCCAGGCTCTGGGACAGTTAGTCCCACAGGACTGAGGGAAAAAGAGGATCAGCACAATGGTCTCACTTTCCAAAGGAAATCACTTGGAACTAAAGGATTCTGTACACCGAAGTTAAAGGATAAAGACCATATAAGTGTAGAAAAGAGGTTGGCAGATTTGAATTTGGGCTCAGGCTTGTATTAGCTGTGTGACTTGAGCAAGTTACTTAAGGATCCTGAGTCTCATTTTTCTCAACTGGAAAATGGGGCAGTTAAAAGGCTGCTAGGAGAACTACATGAGATGTGTTTAGCACCATGCCTGAAATACAGTCAGATCTCAATCACTTAATCATACAGGTACCATCACCACAGGGAAGCAAGGCTGCTTTCTCTGTAGTTTCTAGTGGGTCAGAGCTGTTTACTAGGTGTTGCATATCCTCCCCATACGTGTGCGTGTGTGTGTGTGTGTGTGCGTTACATGAAGCAGGGGTGGAATCCCAGGGAAAGAGAAATAAGGGCCTTCTCAGAGCCGAGAAGAGGAGCACTGGGAGCACTAGAATGAGTGATCATCATTGTAAAAGTTGGTTTGGAGGAGTACAGGATGAAATGAGGATGAGATGGCTAGTAAGTAGGAGAAAAGGAGCAGGGCTTTGAGGATTTGGAATTTCCTATGAAAGTAAACAAAAGGGAGCAGTCATCAGAGCTGAGGTTTAAGGTGCAGCACAGACCAAAATCACTATGATCTATGATTAAGTCAAATAACGTGGAACAAGCTGATTGGTGTTTTGATGGGAGACTCCACTGGGTTAGGAGAGGATCACCCACAATGTTGAAACCACACACTGTTCTTTATGACCCAGAACAGCACCAAGGAATGCAGAGAATAGGCCCAAAGAGAAAAGAGCACAATAGGAACGATTTTTAACCTACAGCTTAGTGCCAGGCTTCAGCAATGTCAGACAGGAAGACAGGGAGGAAGTTAAGAGCTAATCAAGATGAAGCATCTGGCCAAGCTGTTGCCACTCAGGGCAGCTGTGGCAGGGGGTCAGCACAGCCTAGATCTGTAATCACTTCTCAGGGAGAGCCACACCAAAACTTAGTCACATATTTAGCAAAGCTGGGGAGGCAAGGCACTAATTAATAGGCTGCAGTAAATGGACAGAAAGAGGGGAAATGAAAAACAATGTTTCAGAGCTCTGATTAAGGTAGATGAAGGTGCAGTGACTGCCAGAGCTGGAGGGGGAGAAAGCAGAGACAGGGGCAGGGGCAGAGACCAATAGCTCACAACCCAGCCCCATGGACAGACGAAGCAAAGCCTAGACAGGCTAGGACCCAGTCTGCAGACAGAAGAGAATAGTCAGGAGTGCCTGAATCTGCTGCCACATGGCTGACATGCTTCCGGGTTCCAGGTCCCTCTCCAGCTGCTCTATTCATCCTGAATTCCAGTTTTATGGCATAATCTCTAAGGCTCTCAGCCTCCAGCTCTTTTCCTCCTCTAAGCTCCCACTCTCTGTGCCCACCTCTACCTTGCCACTACACATCTTTCTTCATGATTATTTGAGGACCTGTCACTATCCGAACAGGAAGACCTTCTTAAACAAAATTTTATTTTTAGCCTATTTATTTCAGGGCTATAAGTTGCCTAACTTTACTGTCTCATGAGACAGAGTTCCTTTTCTCGTTGGTTCCCCAAATTATGGCCTTCCGTTTTAAAGGGAGGAAATACCTTCCTCTGATATTCTGGATTTGGTGAGCAAATTGACAAGATTGCAATGAACACTTCCAACCCCCTGTCCAGACAGAACATTTGAACATATAAAGCACCCTGACCTCCAGCAAAATGTACTCCATGATTCACATGGCTTTTCCCTTTCCCTGATTCAGAGGTCACATGAAATGGCCCTAGGGGTGATGACTGGCACAGATTTTGATCCTGTTGTCTTCTTTGTGCTAGGTGTTTTTGCATTGAGTCTTAGTATCTCAGCTTT